CATGCTTAGTGTGAGGGATTGCTGAAAAGTCAAGTCTTTCAAATCTCCCACTCAGCTACACAGTTTAATTAATCAAGAATCAGCCAAACAAGTGGAATGCCATGGACAATGAGTTCATGGCATTTAGAAATGTATCAACAATTATTGCACTTCTAACAGTCCTTTGTAATATAGACATGATACGGACATTATGATGATAATATTATATTCACAATATATTGCATCTTTAGGCTGTTCAACCACTAAACCAGATTAACAGCTGGTCTGTGTAAAGTAATATCATCTGATCCTTTTAATCAGGTTTTAGAAAAAGGTAGAATACCATAGCAGCTGTGTTAAAGGCAGTTAATGACATTATTGTTGCATTTGATAATGAGGAGAACACACTTCAGTTATTCAGAGCAAGGTGTTGATTGGTTTGATAATTATTTGAAAAATAAAACAGAATGTAGTAAAAATGATTGTATTTGTTCTGAAACTGCAGTTGTCACCAAGGGGAGCCACAGGGAACGATATTAGGTCCTCTTCTGATCATAATTTTATAAATAAGTTAGGATGGAGTGTGTCTGAAGCAAACTTATAAACTTACATACTAATACAACTAAATTCAATTATTTTTCTGGATCCAGGGAGCTTTTAAAATGTCTCATCAATGTCCTGTCTTGGTGGAATTGTTTTTAAAAAGGCTCAGACCAGCTGTGTTTGTCATGCGCTGCTAAAAGCGGCTTGTTGGTGCAACTTTAAGGTCTTTATTGGATTATGGGGATCGTTTTCAGAGGATTGCTTCTTTCTAAGGTCTTACGATGATTGACTCTGTCTGTCTCATTTCTCTAAGATTCATTTCTAACTACAGGGACTCATCACACCGATGTGATCTATATTTGCAGATGAATGGTCTGGTTTGGCTGCTTAAAGGAATCCACTGGTTAACTTATAGGATGCTACTTGCTTATTTTATCTGTTCTGTAATTGCCCTGAGAAATGTTGATTCTTATACCTTTTCTTGCTTCTTTCTTTAAAAGAAAGTTTATGTTTCTTCTGGAACTTGCTTCAGAAAACTTTAAACCACTGCACTACAAAAATGATCTTAAAGTGATTAGAACATTCTTAAAATAAATGTATTTACTATTAATTTAGGGGGTAAATAAGATGATCTGTCAAGCGTTAATATGAGAAAAATCAGATATAATGCACTTGAAATAAGAGACTGCAATTGTCTTTTCTTTTTTTTATATCTAAATAATCTTGTTCCATTGGCAAAATGGAATCCAAGAAAAAATGCATTTCATTTAAGAGAAAATGAGTTACTTAGATTTTTAATTTCTGCAGTGTGTCCTATTGCACACTGTGGTGCTTTTACTGATTCAATCATCAGGTTATTGTTCATCATAATCTGTTACTTTTTCCCCCTTTAACTATTTAACTTTGTGCTTTATTTGTTGTCTCTGGACAGGACTCCCTTAAAAATATTTGTTTTTATCTCAATGGAACTTTCCTAGGTAAATACTGTAGATGTTAAATGAAAAAAAAATGATAATACTAGAAACAAAAAATAACAGATGTTTTTTTTTCTCTATACACCATAAAGAATAAATCATTTGGAAATACTTTGAATCCGTCTTGTTAAAAGGGAGTTTTTCCTCTCCACTGTCGCTACAAGCATGCTTAGTGTGAGGGATTGCTGAAGCTTCAATGAGTCGATGATATCAGCTGGTTTTCCTTAGATAGAAAACTTTTAATCAATCTGACTGGATGATCTGATGAACTGTAAACTGCCTTGAGATGACGTGTGTTAGGAATAAATTGAACTGAATTGAATCAGAATAAAAAAATCTAAACATTTTATTTTGACTCCGTAAAAAAGCCAACTTTAACCTTTAACTGCTGTGTTTTTAAAGGTAGCATGTGGTCTGCTCCACCATAACTAAGGACTCGTCACCAGAGAAAGACTCGTTAAATGACTCTGTTAGTGCGTTAGGTGGTAATTGGTGCCAGAGGCTCTTCAAACCGTTTAAACTCCAATAAAACCACAGAGTTGACAGCAGCAGCAGAGTCTTTAACTTAGTCCACTGCTAGTGCAGAGCAGTGGAAAAAGCAGAAAAACAATACTCTGACATTTAATCTACATTTCTCAGTCTTGTAAACATAATAACAGCTTCATGGATTATTAAATTATGAATTAAAGAAGCATATCTGATAGTGTCATTTAGTCAACACCTTTAGAGCAACTAAAGGTGTTGTTAGAAAACTAAACCTATCAGTCAGCCCCTTTGAGAGGAGAATAACGGCTTCAGCAGATCGTTAAAATCTCATTCCTGTTTCAGTCTGTTGTCTGAAAGATGCACCTATCTGCCTTTATGATGGAAACACTTTATAAAAGAGCAGGAACAACCTGAACATCTGGAATGAGAATCAGTTCTGATTGGTGGTAAACAGAGATGTTTGGACGTCGTATAAAATGATCAGTCATAATCCACAATATTTTAACAAAGTAATAAATTAGTTCAATGTTCAAATTAATTATTTATGTTGACGCGTCCATCCCCTTTAAAAAGGGTCCCCTTTAAACAGCCGCATTACTCTGCCTGGACTAGGATTATCCAGTCCGCTACAAAGTGGGTTTAGTTCCATTAATCTGGAAATTAAACTTTGAAAAATTCCTAATTAAAGAAAAAAAAGTTTTGCTTTTTTTCTCAGATTTTATTTTTTCAAATGTTATTCTAAATTTAATTATAGGAAAAAAAATTTAATAAAAGTAGTTTTGTTTTCAAATTAAATTGCTGTAAATTTCTTTTTTCAGATTAAGCGTCATGAGTTTACTCGGATGAGACAGATTTCTGTTGCTCTAAATGGAAATGACACTGCAGAAAATTAAAATCTCAATAAGTCAGTTTTTTCTTGAAATAAATTCATTATTTATATTGCATTACCTTGAATTAATGAGGTAAGTGAGACACTTGCCAATGGAATAAGACAATTTACATTTAAAATAAGAAAAGATGAATTGCTTTGTCTTTTTTCAATTGCATAATATCTAATTGTTTTAAGAGTAAAAACACTCATTCCATTGGCAAGTCATCTAATTTACCTGCTCAAATTAAGGGTAAATACACGTATTATAAGACACTTTTATTAATTTTGAGATCTTTTTTGCAGTGTAGTGATGACATTTTAATTGATCAGGTTGAAGGGTTCACGTTGGGGTTAAAGATAAGAGAATGGGATCCTTGAAACACAATTTGAAAAGAATGACATTTGAAAAACTCAATCTTGAAAAAAAAAAAAAGAAATTTGAAAAAATCACTAAATATTTTTTGGAAAAATAAAAGAAATTTTGAATAAATAAAAGGGGACAAACACATAAATTAAATGTTTTGTTATAAATGATCAACAGCTCAATTAGTCTAATAACCTTTTTTGGACAAAGAAGTTTTTCTGGATTGCAGCATTTTTATTAAATTTCCATTTAAAAAAACACGTTCTTTCAACAATGATGGAATAAAATTCACTGCATGCTCATTAACGTGACCATATCTGTATTTTGAAAATCTATGTGACTCAGTAAGGAGAACAGCGGCTCAGTCGTATTGTAAAGGTTCTTGGATCCAGACGCTGTTCCCAGAACCCCCCAGAAATATTAGGAAAATACCAAATCTACTCTTATATAGTTAAAGTTATGCTTAGGAGGGATGGTTTGTTGATTTAAATGGATCATGAGCTTATATCTAATATTCAGCTTTTAAAAAATGAAGAAAGAAATTCTATGTTAAACAAACAGCTGTAATGAGTAAATAAAAAGCTTTATGATGTCAGCTCAGGTCCATAATATATATAAAAAAACAACATAACAAAGAGAGACAAAATGAAAATAATGACAGCAAAAACTCAGCATATTCTGGATACCAAAACTTAAACCATAAAGAAGTAACCTATATAAAAAAGCCACAGCTCCAGGGTACATTCAAAGAAAAGCAAATTATGGAGGCATAAAAATAGCTTGCGATGAAGTAAAGAGGAGAAAAGAGTACAGTACCTTTTACTCTAATGTCCGGATTGTGAGCTTTGACAAGGAAGAAACAAGTGGAGAAGAAGAGAAGACAGATAGAAACAGAGTGTTTAGTAGAGAAACAGGCAGCAGGAGGGAAAAATGTTTTAGTTTCAAGGTTATAAGGAAAAGAAACCAAAGATTCATTTTTTTTCTTTTTCAACAGATAACAGAGACAGGAAATCAAAGTTATCTCTAAGCTGACCATGAATGTGAGCAACGTTACATCACATTTCCAGCAGATTCTAAACAGAAGCAGGTTAGAGTCTCAGAGGACTGAATGAGGCTGGATAAATCTTCTAAGCAGCAGAACAAAGGAGCAGCGGACTGCTTAATCAGACATGAGAAAATACAGGACAGCTTTTGTTTTCCTTTGAGCAATATAAACCTAAACTCTACCTAAATGCTCTCCCATTATCACACATGTTGTTAGTTTGGACCCCTTTGCAGCAACTCTGGCCTTCCTGCTGTCATGTAACCTGGTTACTCATCACTGTCAGCTTCTCTTTATGCTTATTCAGAAAGCAAAAAGCTCTAATACTAAGCTGCAGAAAACTGGCTCTTTAAATTCAGCCGCAGCAAATAGTTTGATCTCCTTTAGGTGACAGCAGCTGTCCTTCCTTCACAGTCTAAAATAGACCTTCCAGCCCAACCACAAGGACAAAAGTGACACAAGTATAATTCTTTACAGCTGTCTCCAGATCCTAATAGACAAAGAACTAAAGAAGCTAGACAGGACCTTCCTAAATCAGTACATAAAACATTAATTACACATTTATTGAAAGTAAAAAAGATATGTTTTCTAAATGTATTCATCCTGTTATTTGATATAGATATAAATACATAGATATCTTTTGACACTTTTGTGGTAGTTTTCTATGAATTTAGACATTTGTTTTAACAAAGTCAGGTATGTATCAATAAACACGACTATAATCAATATCCCCTATTATGTTGCCCTCCTCTCTATGAGATAGATTGTCTTCTAATCCACATCTACTGTGGCTACCTATCACTTGCAAAGGGAAAGTGGAGCAGGTAGTAAAAATTAACCGCAGGGTAAGAAGAACAAGCTGTAACTGCTCCAGACCAGTAGGGGGTGATAACGCTATGCACAGTACGTAAAGACGTCAACAGGATGGCCGCTCAGAGGAAAATTGAAGGAAAGAAAAAAACTGTGAGTTTTTCTTTAAATCTGACAAGCACATGGGTTAACGGGTTAACGTTAGCCCTGGCTGCTGCTGACGGGTTAACGTTAGCCCTGTCTGCTGCTGACGGGTTAACGTTAGCCCTGGCTGCTGCAGACGGGTTAACGTTAGCCCTGTCTGCTGCTGACGGGTTAATGTTAGCACTGTCTGCAGCACATGGGCTAACGTTAACCCGTCTGCAGCAGCCAGGGACCAGACCAGCTTTGAACGTGGTGATGTCATCAGTACGCTTCTGTTCCAATTCACCCATATTTATGCTGTGGGCTCCAGTTCTTCTCAAGAACGTACTTGGCGAGGACAGTTCTCGTGAATTGAGAAATGGCCCTAATTTATATCTTAAAAAGGTTTGACCCCTTGTGACTTGGTGATTGTCTCCCCCTAGTGGTCTGGAGTAGCACTGTTATCCAGGGTGAGTTTGCAGCTTTTCTTAACTTGCAGCTGATTCTGCTACTTGCAGCATCATCTCCTTCCATGTTCGCTGTGTGTTTTAGCATTATTTATGTTTGCAGCAGGTTTTGATTTGAAGCGCATTTGCTCCTAACTTCTACCTGTTTTCTCTGATTGCAGCATTTCTTTTTTCCATGTTTTTGTCCCATGTGTGTTTTGTGTCTCATTTTTAATATTTGATATTTGCCGTCTATTGCACACCTCAGCCCCCCATAATTTGGCCTCCTGTAATCTGGGAGAATTTGATAATATCTTGGACTGATAGACATGATGTGCTTTGCTCCTTTTTCAAGCAGGTAAAAAAAATCAGCAGGTAGACTATGGAGCAGGAACATGGAAGAAACATGGATGTCTTATGAATTTGATAAGACTCTTGAAAAAAAAAATGAAGTCTGGCTCGACAGTGAACTGACTGAGATGAAGAGAGGATTCATGCTTTGGAGCTGGGAGTTACTGAGGAGTGGAGAAAGAGTTCTGGAAAAGAAGCTCTGAGGAGGAAACAGATGGAGAGAAAACTCTACGGATCAAAGTGCAAACCGTGTGGGTGGGTCTGAAAAAAAAACAGGGTCTATAATATGAGGGTGGATAAAACTTGGACAGAATAAATGAACTGTTTGTTACTGGGTTAGCTCAGCTGGACACACTGACATGAACACAAACCTTCAGTGAAATGTTTCAGACCCGAGAAACCATATGTTTCACCGCTGAATGACCACAGCTATAGAAATAGTTCTTTTTATAGTGGAAACATACTTCAGTACCAATACGGTTCATATCAATAAAGGCTCTCTCATGCATTGGCTTTATAACAGAGAGCTGCTTTGATTTAAGGGTTTATAACTTCGTAAAAAACAGTACAGCCCCTCACAGATCCCATCTGCTTTTATCCCTCAGTCACACAAAATTAAACTCTAAATTTATCTAAAAAGGTAAAAAGTTCTCCAAAAACCCAGAAATACTACTGTCTCCTTTTAAATTCATGAAATAGATGAGACTAACACAACCAAGGCATTATTTAAACCAGGACTGTCCAAACTTTTTGCCCTGGGGGGAAAAATATCTGAAGCAATTTAATCAAAATCTTTAAAAAAAAATCCCCAAAATCAGATTAATCTGTTCAACAGGAAGCTAATTATGCAGCAATTGAAATAATCAAACAAAGCAGTCTGACTCTATAGAAAAAGGATTGATAAATTATTTACTGTAGGTCTTAAAGGGCTTATAAATCTGCGTATAAAAGAACAAAAACAAAAAGAAATGGTCTAAAATATTCATTTTTATTGTCTTTCTCTATTTTTTTATAGCTACTCAATAAGCAACAAGAACAGGGTATGGATATGGTTATCAACCAAGTTTAATAAATAGGAATTGAATGGTTATTGTAGTTTTGACGAATAACTGAATGTGACTAAATGCAAAATAAAAAAAAAGTACTTTTATTTGGATTTTTATTGTCTAATTAAAATTTTCTTTGGTCTCAGTCTTTTTGAAAGGCTGCTTGTCAGTGAAAACTGCAGGTTTAATAACATATGCGGCTGATAAAGCCTCTTTATGTCTTGAATTCCGGTAATGCGCCTCAGAAAATCATCTTAAAGGCCACTAATGGCCACACGATGCTGTCAGCATGAAGAAGGCAAACATTCAAGAACAGACAGCTTTAGTATTTTAAATGTTAGTGAAAAACTTAAAACCCTGAGGAACATCTCCAGAACCAGAAGAGCAAACACATTTTCACAGAGTTGCATTAATTGACTTTACAGCTGTACAAGCAGAGCGTTTGACAGTGAAGGGTCAGAGATGAGATCTGCTGTCTTCCATGCAGGTTTTAGTGAATGACATGTTAAAGTAGAAACGGTTCATCTGCTCACCAATGTTGCAGTGCTCGCCCGTCCATCCTTGGTCACACTCACACTTCCCATCTTTGCACACGCCGTTCTTGGTGCACAGCGGGTGGCAGGCCTTCTGATCGCACACGCTGCCGGTCCAGCCCTCCTCGCAGCGACACACGCCGCCGTAACACATGCCGTGGTTTCCGCAGTCAACTTCACACACCTCTGTAAGAGGAACCAACAGGTCAGAGGGAAATAAGGATAAGCAGGTAACATTGTTCTGTGTCTCCAACAACATATTCACTTTTTAAGAGCCAAACAGCCACCAACAATAATGGTGTTAGTATATAACTCTCTAGTTTTGGTATTAGCAGTGTGTGAACATGTGTAGCAGCTGATCAAAGCCACAATAAGGTGTACGAAGCTACAGTAGCAGCCATTCAAAATGGCCCTTCCCAGTCAAAAGCCTGTCAAATGGCAGCACACTTCCCCGCAACTCTCAGCAGAATCCCCTCTAACTTCCACCCACTGGCCTTCCAATGGGCGTGTATTTTTTTTTTTACACTGACTCCACCCTTTCACTAAATTACAGGGTCTGATCAGGAGATGGTGATTCTCTTTAAATCTTAATGTCCACAAATCACGACAGGAAGAATACTTTAGTACAAAGATTGATGTTTAAAAAGGAATTGAAGGGGACCAGCCAAGGACCAGCCAAGGACCAGCAGAGGGCCAACCAAGGGCCAGCCAAGGACCAGTCAAGGACCAGTCAAGGGCCAACCAAGGACCAGTCAAGGGCCAACCAAGGACCAGCCAAGGGCCAGCCAAGGGCCAACCAAGGAATAGCCAAGGGCCAACCAAGGACCAGCCAAGCACCAGCCAAGGACCAGCAAAGGGCTAACCAAGGACCAAACAAGGGCCAGCCAAGGGCAAACCAAGGACCAGCCAAGGAATAGCCAAGGGCCAACCAAGGACCAGCCAAGGACCAACCAAGGACCAGCCAAGGAATAGCCAAGGGCCAACCAAGGCCAAGCCAAGGGCCAACCAAGGACCAGCCAAGGGCCAACCAAGGACCAGCCAAGGGCCAACCAAGGACCAGCCAAGGACTAGCCAAGCACCAGCCAAGGACCAGCAAAGGACCAGCCAAGGGCCAACCAAGGACCAAACAAGGGCCAGCCAAGGGCTCATCAAGGAAAGTGGGGAAATTTTGAGTAGCTAATACTGTACGATCTACTGATAGCAAAGGAGTTATCACACTTATTATTTAATAGTTGAATGCAATACTAAACTTTAATTTAACGTATTATTATTAGTTTGAAAAATAGTGAAATATCTCCATCTGTTAGCATATAACCTGCCTTTGCCTTTGTGTAGAAGTGACGATGTAACGTCCTGTACTTTGCTAAAGGCAGCGCTGTTCTGGTAACACTTAACTGAAGTGAGAATCAAGTTGCATAAGTTTACTAGAAGAATTAAGAGATGTGTTCTACCCTCCTTGTGAATGTGGCCATCTTTAACATGAAGCTATGCTAACAGCTTAACCGCAGAAAAAACTAAATATAGCATTATAACCCCTGGAATTAGCCCTGCGAACATCCGTTTGGGAAGTTGATGTTGCGGAACCTGAGGAATATGGGGGAGTCTTAGGATGAGAGCAGCTTTAATAAGAGTCAAACTGTCTTGATGGATGAGTCACGGCATCTCCACAAGCCCAGAGAAAGCGGTGAACCAGCAAAAAGGTCAGGACTTATTCATGGAGATGTTGTCCAACACCGCAGAACAGTTTCTGTTTTCCTTTTTATTTATTTATTTATTTTTAACAATTTAAGGTTTAGTTCATGAATCTATGGAAATCGATTCATGAAATCATTCATTTTATTGCAAGATATTTAGCTTTCTTTACATTTCACAAGCTAATGAACCTTCCTAACACAGAATAATTGTTCAAGTTGACCCAGCAGGATGTTAACCTTCCCAGATTCACACAAACAGAGCAGAGCCATGTGAAGAAAAAGCTTCCATACCAGAGCCACACATCTTGCTCAGATGGTTCTAAACTGTAACCCACGCTCCATTGGGTTTGCTATACCAGCTGCATGCCGGGCAAGCAAACCTTACTCCATTTTATCTTCTATCAGGAAGATCTTTCCATTAACATAAGGGCCTGAATATTTCTTTAGAATATGCTGAATTTACAAAAATTAATGCATCAATATATTTAACAATATATTGTGCCAGCTGTATTAAATAAACCGAATAAATAAAAAAAAGTTACACATCATTAAACAAGACATATTTATAAGATATAAAAAAAACAAGAAGCTATTAGGTTAGTAAAAATAAAAGTATAAATAATAAAATATAGATAAAATATGTGAAACATGTCTGATTTCCTATGTACAGAGATGTAGATATATCATTAACAGACAGGGTATGTCGCTCTGACATACGATCAGACAATTTACCATTGTTTCAGTGAGGTGGACACTAACTGTGTTCTAGCTTTCTGTTTTTAAAATGATACAGATTTTCACTTCTGTGCAGATTATCACTTCCGTCCCAAGTCCCGTATTTGACTAGGTCAGATTAACAAAAGTAAGCCTGCACAGCATATTCTTAAACTAGAACAGAGAGGATTATCTACTTATATATAATTATGAGGGAAAGATAAGCTTTGCTTTCTTGTACTGCCACTTCTTGTTTTTTTTTTTTTGTTTTTTTTGTAGGATTCATAGCAGTTAATTTTTTACTTTATTCATTTTCTGCCCTCCCAAACTACTATTATGGGTAAAAGATTCTGTTTATTAAAATTATGTTATTGATTATTTATGTCTGAGCCTACCCTGCCTGATGTTTACTCACTGTCAGATTCCAAACCTGTTCTTCCTTGTCATTGAGAGATTTTATTTTGTATTTTCCCCAAGCAGATGTGTTTTTGCTTTATAACTGTGCCTCTCTTCTTGTCACACCCAGGAAATGGCTGCTGAATTGCTGTGCAGTTGGACTAAAATACATATGGGGTGCATCTCAGCAGGAGCTAGGGTAGGGAAGGCAAGGGTAGGGTAACAAAGGCTAGGGAGGGTAGGATCACAAAGGGTAGGGAAGGGTAGAGTAACAAAGGGGAGAGGAGGGTAAGGAAGGTTAGGGTAGGGTAGCGATGGGTATGGTGGGGTAACAAAGGGTAGGGTAGAGAAGGGTAGGGTAACAAACAATAGCAAAGGGTATGGTAGGGTAAGAAAGGATAGCAAAGGGTATGGTAGGGTAACAAAGAGTAAGGAAGGATAGGGTAACTAAGGGTAGGGTAGGGAAGGGTAGTGTAACAAAGGATAGCGAAGGGTAGAGTGACAATGGATAGCAAAGGGTATGGTAGGGTAACAAAGGATAGAAAAGGGTAAGCTAGGGTAACAAAGGGTAGGGAAGGGTAGGATAGGAAAGGGGAGGAGAGGGTAAGGAAGGTTAGGGTAGGGTAGCGATGGGTATGGTGGGGTAACAAAGGGTAGGGTAGGGAAGGGTAGGGTAGAGAAGGGTAGGGTAACAAACAATAGCAAAGGGTATGGTAGGGTAACAAAGGATAGAAAAGGGTAAGCTAGGGTAACAAAGGGTAGGGATGGGTAGGATAGAGTAGAGTCCCCTTGTAGAAAATTGTCCCTGGAGTGCTCATCCCATTCAATCTCCATAAGTGCCCAGCGACATACCCTCTGACCAAACAATTTTCCGTTGAATCAGATGCGAATAGTTTCTAGTGTGTTCAGGGTTTGTGCTTCTGCTTAAGAATAAACAGCAGCTTTCTGGTGGAAGATGATAATATTACATTATTTCTGAAAGAAAATTTTAATCTGATAAATCATTTATTAACAATAAAAATAAAACATTGGTAGTTAGGCACTATGTGTCGCTCTGCCTAATCAGCTCCAAAGGCTCTGCTAAATGTCCTTCCTTTACTTGAATTGATTCAAATGGAACAGTCCCAGAATGATGATGTGTAGAATCAACCCTGAGTTCTACACACCATCAATCTGGCTCTCAGGTTAGCAAAGTAAGGCAAAAATATGTCATATTTTAGAAAACTGCTTAAAACTGTTCTAACATTATATACCACCAACCTTGCATCCTCTTTAACGATATAACTCCTTAGGTTAAAAATTTTCCAACATCTCCCTCCTAAGCATCAGAATTTGCAGCATGCAAATGTCCTGGAGCCAAATGAAAGACACTAACTTGAAGTTTTTAGCTCCTTGTGTTTCTGTGTATCAGAAGTATTGTCTTCCTTTTAGCTAAGCCAGGCAATAATCTTATTTTTTTTATCTGTTGACGATGACTAAATCCCATGCTATGTTATGTTCTGTATGCAATAATGAACATTCACCAACATCTACATCACAGAGGCTTAAAAACATAGTATGCTTTGATTAATATAATCTTTAGAAAAAAGGGAGGTACTGAAATTAAATGGGATAGTGAAGAAACAAGCCCTAACCCACTACAGATGTACAAAGATATAAACACTTAATTACAATTCATAACATAGAGCATGTATATAAAAAGTTCCAGCTCTACAGAACTAACAGGACTTTAGCACATTTAGATAAATAAGATAGTGTCTAATAACAGAGGTAGAGAACATGTGGGAGGTCCAGGCATCACTTCTGACCAGGTTCCTCATAGGAACAACCCTCTCAAACGGTATTTAGTCTTTCAGAAGGATAACCATGACACCCAGCAGACATAGCTGAACACTGACCAGAAGAAGATGACCAGTTTGAGTCTCAGCCTCCATCTTGTCTAGACCCAATCCAATATATGGCAACTCAATCTATGGGACGTCCTGGAAAAAACAAATCTAATCATTGGTGCAGCACCTCACAACTTCCTGGACGTAAAGGTTATGCTGCAGACTTCTAGGGGCCAGACTCCCCAGCAGAGCGTCGGAGATCTCCCTCCAGGGGTCAGAGCTGTGTGGGTCTGAAAGGTGGAGCTGGGCACTTCTGTGTGTTGTTTTTCTACATGACTACCGAATGAAAGTCTGGTTGAACTCTGGCTTGAAGTAGAACAATAGAACAGTGCGAGTGTGAAGTCAGCTGCGTTTGAGCGGCCATGTGGCGCTCGTGTGGCTGTCTGTGTGAGACCGTGTCAAAGAAGTAGAGATTAAACGCCACACTGCTAAACTCTGATAAGGGACTGAAGTGCCTTGGGTTGAATGTCGATGTATCTATCCACGCTTGTGTGTTTGATGGCTGCGCATTTGAATGTTTTGACGGATCCTGAGGGAAAGGTCAACAGCACGCCGAAAGTATTATTGTATCAGTGCAGAAGGTATGTACGTGCGCATGCTACTAAAACAAAATACTTATTTGGATGTGCGTTTGATGGTTTGACAATACTTGCTATAACAGCTTGAGGCAACACAAACAGAAGTGAGAGCGCGCATACACACTCGCTTCCCTCTTGTTTGTTTTTATGTCATGCCATCTGTTACTGATCTGCATTCCTCCTCCAGTTTTCCTTCGCTTTATCCCCTTTTTACTGCTTTTCTTCTCTCTTCCTGTTTCCAAACAGCCCAAATACTGAGAACACATTGGATGCAATGGTGCTAACCAAAACAATAACCTTCACCATTGCTTAGATTTTGGTCATCTGAAGTAAACTGAACATCATGTCTGTCAGATGCAGAGATGGTAAAGCAGCGTTTATAGTTAAGGCACACACTGAAATACATTGAAAATCTAAAAATTCAAGCCAACAATGCCATTGGAAGACAGAACAAGACCTTATTACCTTTGTAACATAAAAAAAGTATAATAACAATATAATAACAAGAAACGCCAACTTGCCCGAATATATTAAGAAAAAAAATAAAAGGGCATCTGTAAGAAATCCATGAAAAAAACTGAACTAAAAAACTAAAGAAAGACATTTTTCCTGTCACAGCACAATCTTTAAGCTTTAATGCTGATACAGGCACTTTATTTAGCTTGGCTTATTAACTTTTAACCTTTTTTTTCTTGACTTGTTACCTTTTTTCCCCAAATTAATTTACAGTAGGTAATTTATCATACAAGGGCTCATCTAATTGGTCGAATGCCAAAATAGGATGTGCAGCCATGTAGCAGTATCTTTGCTGAATGGCTGGATATAGATCTTTTGATTCTCCATTTGGGGACTCCATTTGTAAGGGGTATGCAAGTGATCAATAACTCTGACTTGTCCTATAAAGGGTTTAATGCTCCAAATACAAGAAACTGATTTAAGCTTCCTGTAGCTCTTTTGATTTCTCTTCACCTAGAATTAAAACAATCCCACTAATCATTCTGGCTTTATTTGATCCCAAAATTTTCATAACTTGTCACAAGAGTCAATAAAAATGTAAAAAAAAAAATCATGATTTCAGCAGGTAACTAAGAAACTTTGCCTGGTGAATAAGAACATTTGGCTGATCAACTGAAAAGAAAACACATAATTTAACCTCTTTAAATCCACTGGGTCGCCGGTGAACCATTTTAAAGGGTTTATAACTAATAAACTAATAAAAGTGGAAGATACTTGCTTCATAAATGTTTTGTGCCCATAAAAA